TGAGGCCAGAGAGGGCATTGGATCCCTGGGAACTAGAGTTACAGTTAGTCGTGAGTGGCTATGTGGGTGTTGGAAAGTGAACCTGGGCCCATGCTCTTAACCACTGAGCTATTTCTCTATACCCCATTTTTATCTTTAAATGGACAGATTAGGTAAAAATCTAAAGGATTTTGAATTTTACTTATTTTAAACTGATATATAAAACCTTAAATTACACTATTCATAGGGTGTTTAATTATTTTATGCTGTGGGTGTTCTCCCTTCATGTATGTTTGTGTGCCATTTGCATACCTGGTACCCAGGGATGCCAGAAGAGGGCACTGGATAGCCTAAAACTAGAGTTACAGATGATTATGAGCCGCCACGTGGGTGCTGAGAATAGAACCTGGGTCCTCTGGAAGAACAGCCAGTGCTCTTAACCACTGAGCCATGTCCAGCCCATGATACACACACACACATACACACACACACACACACACACACACACACACACACACACACACGTACACACACAATGTATTGTTTAAATCTGCCTAAACACAACTATCTCCTCAAATAGTTACCTTTTCTTTATAATAAACATTGAAAACCCCACCTTCTGGCTTTGCAAAAGGTGCAGCTACACTCAGCACACTGTGACGAGCGCACCAGACCCGCTAACTCCTAACTTTCATGCAATACCCACTAAGCAGCCTCCCCCTAGTCCCTCTCTCTCTCTTTTCCTCACCCTATAGATGCTGCAGTGTCATAGAAAATGGCCTATTTGTGGCTCTGGCTGGCCAGGAACTCACTATATAGCTCATGTTGGCTCAGGGCTCCCAGTATAGTGAGTTCCCTTCCACGACCTCCTGAATACTGGGATAAAATGCAAATTTTATATACTTTGTCTGGTTTTATTGAGACGGTTTCTATGTGTATCCTGGCTGTACTGGAACTCTATGTAGACCAGGCTGGCCTCGAACTCACAGATCCAAGTGTCTAAACATTGGGATTAAACAAAAAATCTGCCATATTACTCCTACCGTCTTCTGCTGCTTAATAATGGGGCACGTTCTGAAACATGTTGTTAGGCAACTTCTGGTGCAAATAGCATAGTGTACATCCATAATAAAGAGCTAAGTTGACGGCTAGACAATGTCATCTTGTGGAACATGTGCGCATGTGTGGAGGCCAGAGGCCCACCAGGCATTGCTCCTCAGGAGTGCTCCACCTTAGTTTGTGGTTTTTGAGTCTGGGTCTATGTCATTCTGGCTGTCCTGGAACTTGCCATACAGACCAGGTTGGCCTTGAACTCAGAGAGTTCTGCTCTGCTTACCAAGTGCTGGGATTATAGTTGTGTGCACCACACCTGACTTCCACCTCAGTTTCTGAGATAGAATCTCCTACTGGGGCCTGGAGCTCACTGTGTAGTCTAGGCTGGCTCGTCGGTGAGCTCCAAGGATGTGCTCACCTCTGCCTCCTCTGCCCTAGGATTACAAACACACACCTTCACGACTAGAATGATAAACATGCATGACCAGCTTTTCCGAGGGTGGAGACTGAAGCCAGGTCCTTATGCTTGCTAGATTCTCTCCAGACTGAGCTATCTCCCAGCAACCTTTGTTTTTGAGAGAAGGTCTCAATTCTGTGGCTCAGGCTGGCCTTGAACTCATAACATCCTCACCCCTCAGCCTCCCAGATACACTGGGATGAAAAGCATAAGCTTTCTGGGAAAAGGCTGTCGACTGTATCTGCTGTCTCCACACGTCACCAGTCGGTTTGTGTTGTCTTTTCTTGGGTTTGTCTTAGCTTTGCTCTCGGAGGATGAGAGGGTGTGCGGTCTCTCCCGCCTGCACGCCTTTCCCTGCACTGTACAGCCCACTGTTCGGCACACTCACATGGTCCCTGGGCCACGTTGTGATTCTGTCTCTGAGTTTTTATTTCACCAGAGCCATTACTGCCTTCAAATCTGTTTAACTCGGTGTGGCCCTCAATGAGGAGGTGCTGGGGATAAACTCAACATCCCTTTAGTAGAGGGAAATGAGAAACGGGCAGAAATAAGGTCTGGGAGGAACTGCAAACACTTCCTACTGTCGTCTAAAGCAACAACCTCAAGGATAGCTCTAAAAGGCCCAGCTGGAGTGACGGTGCAAGTCGGCATCTAAAGAACGTCCCTGCTGTCTCCCACCACCGCTGTCAAGTGACTACGGGGGACCTGGGAATATAGGATGCGGTGATTTGAAAGAAAATGGCCCCCAGAGAGAGAGGCACTATCAGGAGGTGTGGCCTTGTTGGAGGAAGTGTGTCACTGTGGGGGTGGGTTTTGAGGTCTCCTATGCTCAAACTGTGCCCAGTGTCACAGTTCACTTCCTGTTGCCTTCAGATGAAGGTAGGACCCTCAGCTCCTTCTCCAGCACCATGCCTGCCTGCACGCCGCCATGTCCCACCATGATGATAATGGACTGAACCTCTGAAACTGTAAGCCGCCCACTCAATGTTTTTCTTTATAGGAGTTGCCATGGTCATGGCGTCTCTTCACAGCAATAGAACCATAAAACATAAGGGATTGGGGAAATGAACTCAAGCTGGTGGTGAGAACTTTCAAAGACTATTTTGACTGCAGCAGTTCCACAGGCACCTGTTTCTACGCTCACCTTTAGTACTTGGCATGCAAAGGGACTCCAGAGTCTGCACGCGCCCCAGCCTGGGCTTGGCTCCAACTCTGGTGCACAGGAGAAAGCACAGAGGGCGACAGCCTCCAGCATTTGCTTTGCCAGCACTGCTGACCCGCAGCTGAGTAAGCAGACACATGTGCACTCACGCATCTTTCACGTCACGTGTACACATATGCACACACGCAACCCTGCACTTCTTTGGGTTTTGAAAACAGGGTCGCTTTGTAACTCCAGCTGACCTGGAACTCGCTGTGTAGACCAGGCTGGCCTCAAACTCACAGTCAACAACCAGCCCCTGCTTCTCCGATGCTGGGCTTAGAGTTAGTTGTCAACTGTCATGCCTAATTGCTTGTTTTTCTTCTGTGGTGCTGAGGATTGCTTCTTGGGCTGGAGAGGTGGCTCAGTGGTTAGAGCAAGAACTGCTCTTCCAGAGGAACTGTGTTTAGTACTAGTACCCATCCATATCCAGCAGCTCACAAACACAGCTCTAGGGGAGCCGACATTCTCTTCTGGCCTCCACAGACACCCACACACATGTGCACACTCACACACACATCCAAGTCATAATTTAAAAAAATAAAAATAAAAAATAATAATAAATAAAAACAAGTGTGGTGGTGCACACGGAGGCAAGTGAACCTCAGAACAAGTAAATCCTTTGAAGGCAGTGGGGGTGGGCAGACATGACACCTCCTTTGCCAAGGACTGACCTGAGGACCTAAAGATGCTGTTCTTGGAGACAGGTGACCCCAATAGGAAGCAGCAGCATCTTCATTTTCCCAGACAGATGGGGCTGGTCTCCAGGGCTGCTTTCCTCTTCCTTCTACAAACACCCAGGTTCCGGGCGCCCTCGGCTTCCAAGGGCCACCCAGTTCCTCAAGTGCCTGTCACCTGACATGCCAGCTCTGAGCTCTACCCTTCTCAGATCTACCCCGTGAAATTCCTTTGTGGGCGGGAATGCAGCCCTAGGACACCATCCAAAGCCCTGGGTTAGCAGGGCGGTGGTGGCGCACGCCTTTAATCCCTGCACTCGGGAGGCAGAGGCAGGTGGATCTCTGTGAGTTCCAGGAAAGGCGCCAAAACTACACAGAGAAACCTAGTCTCAA